TTTATCTGGATGCAGTAGTTCTTCCATAGATAAAAGCATTAAAGCTTATTCTTTCAATAACAGAAATCCTCAATTAACTCTCAGTCACAGTATTGCTTATGCAAATTCTCTTTTCAAAGGTGACATATATAAAAGTTTTCATTAAAGAATCTCCTCACCACCCTCTATTACCTAACAGAAACTGCTCCTTCACACAAAATGTCATTTTCAAAACAAAATTCTGCCCCAGTGGGTATCCTGCCCTATCATCCAGGAATACTACAGAAAAGGTTGTCCTAGGAAATACTAAAATTTTTGTATTCCTGGCAATACAAAAATCAGCTCAGCAGATATATTCTCCATCCACTTCTAAAAGGATTTGGCCAGTTTGAGAATTAGGAAAAAAAAAAAAATCAAAGAGCCAGCTGCATGGATCAAACACTGAGAAGACATGAGCTGTGCTAGAACCTACATTCCTCCACCAAATCCTTTATTGCTGCTCTTCTGTGATTTTAGCTTTAAACCTTCTGTGAGCCTTTTCTTTCTCTTTTATTTGGTGTGGGGAGGGTTCAGAGGACTGAACCCAGATGTCTCTCTATCTGCCTCTGTCTCTCTCTTTCTCTCTCACTCTTTCCACTGACCTTTGCCTTGTCTGGTAGTCTGTGTCATACCACTGTTATTTGTGACAGCTTTTAAGTAGAATTATGCTGTATTTCTTATCATAACCTTTATTATCTTAATGGCTGGAATAACTCTAAAATATTTCAAGTAATGTTTTCCATTTTCAAGATTTTGGTAGTAGTGAATTTGTATAATCCAAGAACTTGGGAGGTAGAGACATAAAGACCTAGACTTCAAAGTCCTTCTCCATGAACAGTGAGCTGGAGGCCAACCTGGACTATGACAGACTGTCTCAAAAACCACAACAACAAAGTAAAGCAATCAGGGGTTGTTGTAGGACCCCTCATCTCAGAGTCCCCACTGGGAATGGCCAGCACTACAGAAGGATATGACACCCAAGGAAAAACAAGTTAACAAAAAAGAAGTTGCCCACTTCCTGCCCTAAGAAATTGACAACAACTTGTTGTGGAACCTGCTGGGTGACCATAAAAAAGAAATTTCTAGGCATTAGAGACTCTGTAATTAAGAAGACAATATCCCAGCAGCAGCCGGATGTAAGTGCCTTTAATCCTGGCAGAGGCAGGAAGATCTCTGTGAGTTAGAGGCCAGCCTGGTCTACAAAAGGAAAGCCAGAGCCGGGCGGTGGGGGCGCCATGCCTTTAATTCCAGCACTTGGGAGGCAGAGGAAGGCAGATTGCTGAGTTCGAGGCCAGCCTGGTCTACAGAGTGAGTTCCAGGACAGCCAGGGCTACACAGAGAAACCCTGTCTCGAAAAAAAAACCAACAACAACAAAAACAACAACAACAAAAGGAAAGCCAATACCGTTTCAAAAGAAACAAACAACAACATCAACAACAAAAGGGAAACATTCAAATTGCAAATCCACTTTCTAGAATCTGATGTGCCTCCAAAACGACCTCAGCTGGCACTAAGCCAGTCTCTGAGTTAAACTCAGACCAAAGATCCCGTGGACATCAATGTGATGGCAGAATGCAGCAAAATTGATAAAGCAACTTCCTCACTTGTGTCTGAGACGTCTCACTGTGTCTATCTTTTGAAGGAAAATGAGTCCGTGAGCCGACTCCTGGCTCACTTTGCTCACTCACTGCAGACTGGTTCACTACATACCTCTTCTGGGAAGCCTTGACCGACGTCAGGACTGCCCCTTAAAGACATGCCGCTGCATGTGCACTGCTGCAGCAATGGAAGGCATATTTTTTGAGACACCAGAAACAGGTAAATTAAAAAAAAAACAAATTTTAAATATTCGCCAAGAGGCAGTCCTCTCTTAGCGAGGAGTTTACATAATGAATCAGAAAACCAAAGAGCTCTGCAGACCTGTCAAGGAAGACACAAGACTTGAGCTGTTTCTCCATCACCTCTACTTTGCAACAGCCCCACAGAAACTGGGTACAAAATAAATCTGCACACGTTCGCCCCAGGCTTTCCTACCAACATTTACTAAAACATTAAAGATGGGAGAGGAGAGGGGGAAAAAAATCCAACCAAACAAAATAAAACCCTGGCCTCACACTTCTGACTCCAACGTATGGAGTAACCTAACCGAGCAGGGGAGTTTTTCTTCTTGTGAAGAAGGAAGGAGAAAACGGCAACTGTCTCGAATGTGCGCCTCGCCCAGCAGTGCAATGACATGCTCCAAAACTCCACGCTGGCCCCAGCAGCTCACTCGCGGCCCGTCCCAGCACAGCCCCGCGGCCCGTACGGTCCCCAGCGCCTGCCTCTCACAAAGGAGAGTGGTTCAACCCTAAGCATCCCGCACCTGATCACTCAGAGCTGCACCCGCATGGGTGCGAGCGAGGACGTTGTTACCCCACCCACTACCCGCCCAGGCTCCGACGAGGCTTGGTGGAGCCGCGCGTGCCGCAGGCTTACCTGAGCCAGTCCTGCGGCTTCCTTCCCCGGGCAAGAGTTGCAACCCACCGTCCGGGAGAACAAGGCGCCTTCCGGCGGAGCACGGCCAGCCCTCGCCGCAAGCAAGCTTGCTAGTCCTCCATGCTCCTGGGCCCGCCCACCGCCCTCTACCCACCAATAGTATGGCCGGAGCCGGGCGCCATCCAGGAAGTCTCTGAAGGGTGGGAGGGCCTGAGACTGGGAAGGGTACGTAGGCAACCGCAGATATGCCTGATTGGAAATAGGAACCGGCGGCGGGCTGGCAGGACCGGCCTCTGACCCCCACCACTGGGGGCGCTCCAAACCAGGACAGCACCTGCTACCTGTCTCGGGAGGCCATCTTGGGTCGACTGGCTTGGTGATCTCCCACGATCACTTAGAGGAATGTGAAGCCCTTTTTGGAGTTCTGTTGGTCCGTTTTGGTCCAGCCCCTACATGCATGCCCTCCTCTCGTGTACTCAGGATACCTGTTAGTCAGGGTGAGGAACTCTGGAAAAATGTTGAACGTGACTGGAAACAAGCCCAACTACCCTCTTCTCTTACATGTAGGAATGATGCTGGTTTATCAGAGAAGCCAACAATCAGTTTTTCGAATGACACTTGCTAGGCCATTCAATTATCAACACATAATTGACACGTTATAAAGCCATTCTACTTGATAGTCTATGCACATTACAGATTTTCCACTATTAGTTTTTTGAGACAGGATCTAGATATATCGACAAAGTTGGCCTCCCTCTGTAAAACAGGCAGGTCTTAAATACGGAGATATGGTATTTAAGGCATGAGCTACCACGCCCTAGCCTGGTGTTCTGATTTCAGCAACCCAAATTACTCAGCCATTTAGTAAGCCATTTAGGAGTGAGGAATTTCACTTAAAAAGCAAAGGATCTTAAATTCACCAATAATTCCAAACTACTAACGAATACACACTGGGCAAACAAGACCTAGCAGAGGGCTACTGACGAGAGTCATTTATTCTGGAAAGCAGCACAATTTCATCATAGGTGAAACTACACTGAGAATGGTGTTCCTGTATTTTCTAAAGTTCTGCCAATTACATTTCCATACAAGAAGTTTTTTATACCAGTCTAAATACCAGTATTAGAAGTCTCCAGAAAACTTGAGCAACAAGGTAAGACCTACAAAACTTGTTTTTAACGAGATTTATTGCAGGCCATGCCTTTAATCCTAGGATTTGGGAGGCAAATACAGGCCGATTTCTGAGCTCTGGTCTACAGAGCTAGCTAGTTCCAGGACAGCCAGGGCTACACAAAGAAAAAAAGGGTTTTCTATTATATTTTAATTATCTGTATATGTATGTGCATGAGCATTGGTGGGGGCAGAGAGAAGAGGTGTGGGTTCCCCTCAGGACTAGAGTTACAGGGGACTATGAGCCATACCATATGTGTGGCCAGGAACTGAACTCTGTACTCATGACCAGTACATGCTCAGCACCTGATACATCTCTCTCAACCCTCAAAAATCTTTAGAATAATTTTTTCAAGAGTCATTTCAATGATTAAAATAATTTCCCAATGGCACACACCTTTAATCCCAGCACTTGGGAGGCAGAGGCAGGAGGATTTGAGTTCGAGGCCAGCCTGGTCTACAGAGTGAGTTCCAGGACAGCCAGGGCTACACAGAGAAACCCTGTCTAAAAGAAAGAAAAAAAATTTTTTCCCAAGCAGTGACATAATTGTGCCCACACCTTTAATTCCAGCAGTAGGGAAACAAAGACTGTTAGGTCTCTGAGTTCAAGGGTAGCCTGGTCTATAGAGCAAGTTCTAGGATAGAATAATGTATTTATGTGTAAATGCAAAGAGGTATAATCTTAATTATTCATGGTTTCTATACTAAGAGCCTATTATCCTTCTGGTTATTTTCTGGTACAGAATATAAGACCCACCAACAAAGGAAGTCATTATAAGCATTGTAGGAAGGGGGAGAGTGTCTGATCCAGTGATTTTTGCTAATTAAATGATATGATTTTCAGTGTTCATGATTTCAAAAGCCAATTGACACCCAAAATGTCTCATAATTGCCATTCAGCACATAGGGGTGGGAGATGTTTCTGTATTAATTCATGATCACTTGACTCAGGTCATGAATTTTTAGCCACAATTTTTTTCTGTTTCTTTTAAAAATGACAAAAATATCAAGTATAGAAGATTATAGACTATAATAGAATTAGATGTGAGAATTAAAGGGGTTTTTTACATTCCAAAAAAAAAAAATTTGCAGAATGGTCCACTTTCATCACTCCAAAGGTAACAGCTGTAGGTGAAATACTGTCTTCAGCCAATTCTCTAAAGCTTGTGAATTGCTAAAAACATTTGAACAGTAAAAAACAACTTTTCAATAGAAACTACAACATTGATGGGTATGTTAGCACATTCAGGAAGTATCTTTGGTGCAATATTCTAGGAGAATGGTATCCATTTACACTCAAGGTACAATCAGAAATGACACATGAAATAAAAGCAGCTTGGATCATGCATATATTTAATAGGAAAATGGTCATTAACAATAAAAATTAGAAAATTTGGTGAGACCTCAATGCTGTGAAAGAAAATGAGACAAGTAAAAAAGCAAGTGTCCCAGGAGGTGACGTGAGGAGTGGAGCAGAGGCAGACTGGGCTGCCGGTGTCACAGATTCTAAGGAGAGGGTAAAAAGTCCCTACTTATCTGAGTAGCAGGCATTCTAACTGTAGGCTGCACAGAATGGGGGCAGTGACAGTGAGGTGGGACAGAAGAGCAGTAAGAATCCAGCATAAGGAGATGGGAAAAACCAGGATACTATTACATAGAGACAACTCTAGGGCCTTTTGTTTCTTCTAAAGTCTTAAGTTTTAAAGCATGTCAAATTCCAGATCATGAGTTACACAGGGTACAGTAAGGGAATGGTGAGATGGACTGGGGTAACAGGGACCTGCTCTCAGAGAGCTTACAACCTATATGAGACAGACGCTCCCCCCTCACCCTCTCAAAAAAACCCACTACAAAACATATTTACAAAGTAAATCACATACAAATAAATATGCATATGAATAACATAGGAATGCTAAGAAGTATTGTGTTAACAACTGCTTAGGGCTCCCTAGGTCAGTGAGGATTTCCTAAAAGAAAACGGTGTCAGTATAATGTTAGGAGAGAGTAAGAGGGCAGAGCATGTGCAAAGGTACAGAAGTTGGAATAAATATGTCATAGTCAGTAACTACTTAGCTTGATTAGAGTAAAAGTCTAATAAATCTGGTTAGGGAGAATGCACAGCTACCTGGGAGTCTGAAGCCTCAGGATCCCAAGTTTAAGGCCTGCCAAGTTCAAGGCCAGCCTCGGCAACTTGTCTTAAAACAAAAAGTAAAAGAGAAAGGCTCCTGAGGGTACAGCTCAGTGGTACAGCACTTACCTAGCATGTTTAAGAACCTATCTTAATCTTCAGGGCATGTACACATGCTTACATGTGTGCATGTGTGCACACACACATAGACACACACACACAGACACACACACAGACACATAAATGGAGAAAGAATGATGAAACAATAGAGAGGAATTTGGTGAAACAAACTGTAATGCTAGAACTGGTCCTTTAAGCAAAACGAAGAATTAATGTTTCCTTAGGTAAGGGTATGTGGCAACAGGTCTAGTACCAACTCCACTGCTCTCAAAGTTCTGTAGTTAAGAAACAGAACTAGCAATGAAAAATGCCAGCAAGCCTAGCTAGCCTAAGCATGGAGCTCCAGGTCCCAGTAAGAGATATGGGGCCCAATGTGCCTGGCTCCGAAGGAATGGTGCTTAAGGTTGTACACACACATACTAAATAAAAAGAAACTAGCAAGGAGACAGTATAGAGGCACTCGGCTTCTATAGGAACTCTTATGAAATGACAAGCAGGTTTCCAAGGCAAGGAAATAAATGCAATGAAACTACTATGTATAGATCTATCATCCACAGGCTATTCAGATCCTTAATTCTAAATGTTCAATCAGAATATCCTTCACCTTAGTTACTAAAAATTGGATGAGGAACAGATATGTTTATTTTTTCCTTTCTTTCTCTTTTCTTTTTGTTTTTTTTTAGACAGATGGCCTAGTGAAACTTATGTGGCCCAGACTGACTTCGAAACTCCTAGCAATCCTTCTGCCAAAAGTCCTGAGTGCTGGAATTATGGGTATGTGCCATAACACCTAGCAAATAGATACTGATAGTAAGTTGTTTGGTTTTTAACTACTGTGACAACCAACTTTGATTCTAACATTTTAGAAACTAGAGGATGAAAGAGCCGTAATATATGCAGAATGCTCGTGTCCCTAAAAGAGGACAGGTCAGAAAGGGCCCAATTTTCTCCTCAGGTCTTAAGTGGAAGGATGAAACATCACACACTGAAAAGAGGCTGCTCTCAGCCAAAGCAAGGAAGGCCTCTTTCTTTAAGCTGTTGATCTGAAGCTGTTCCAGGAGAGGAAAAACAAAGAGTTCAGACCAGGTTTTCAGCAGCAGCCAGAGTCAGGCCCTATGTCAGAAGAGTTCTGCTGAGAGGAGCAGGGTCCCACTGCTGAGGTAATTGACTGCTGGGGCCCAATCTTGATGCCATTTGCCTGTAAAAGAGAAAAGAAAAGGTAACAATTGCTGCATCAGAGCTGAAGAGAATTCGAAGGAAGGACAGAGATAAAGAAGAACTCTTCAGTTAAATTCTAGGCATTGTGTTCTCTAGCCAGCTGTTCTAAGAGTGAGATGACTGGTTGTGAGAAACAGCTGACAAGAGTGGGGTTTGCTTGTTTCAAGGTCACTGCTGCACATAGATTTCATAGCTGTGAACAGAAGTCAGGTGTGCCGGAGGGGGAGCTCAGCCAGGGAAGTACTTGCCATGTAAGCATAGGACCACAATTAGATCCCGAGAAACCAGACAGGAGCCAGATGGGCATGACAGCTCACCTGCAATCCCAGTCCTTGGAGCAAAGATACAGGGAGTTCCCAGAGCAAACCCTGCCTCAATATGTAAGGTGAACAGCGATGGAAAAAGACCCCTGTTACCAACCATGGGCCTCCAGATGAACACCCACACTTCTGTCAACACATATGTGAACATGCATATATACACATGCACATCACATACACATACATAAGATAAAAATTCTTTCTTAAAGAGTAAGCAGCCGGGGGCTGGAGAGATGGCTCAGCGGTTAAGAGCACTGACTGCTCTTCCAGAGGTCCTGAGTTCAAATCCCAGCAACCACATGGTGGCTCACAAACATCCGTAATGAGACTGGATGCCCTCTTCTGGTGTGCTGAAGACAGCTACAGTGTACTCATAAATAAAATAAATAAATCTTTAAAAAAAAAAAAAGAGTAAGCAGCCAGGGCTATACAGAGAAACCCTGTCTCAAAAAACAAAACCAAACAAAAAACAAAACAAAAAAATAGGCTGGGCAGTGGTGGCGCATGCCTTTAATCCCAGCACTTGGGAGGCAGAGGCAGGCAAATTTCTGAGTTCGAGACCAGCCTGGTCTACAGGGTGAGTTCCAGGACAGCCAGGGCTACACAGAGAAACCCTGTCTTGAAAAACCAAAAAGAAAAAAAAAAGAAAAGAAAAAAGAAACTAATGCTGTATCCTTAGATACCTGCACTTAAAAAAAACAAAAAACAAAAAAAACAAAAACAAAACAAAAAAAAAAACAAAAAACCACCTGTGATTAGTGTGACATTAGGAGGCAGGAATAGGAATGCTGACACTCTAGGGAGCGTCTATCAAGATAACCACCAGTTCTAACCCCAAACCTTTCTCACCTCATTGTGGATATCAAATAAACCTTGCTGGATCTTCCTATATATTTCTTTGGCTGTATTAATGTAGGCCTGAAGGAGACAGAAATCATGCATCAGTCTTAAGTTTAGGCAGAGAAATGAGAGAAATACAAATATTTTTATTTGGATTCTTAAGGTGAATTAAGAATCTGGATGTGGTGGTCCACCCCTTGTAACCTTGGTGCTCAGGAGGCAGAGGTAAGGAGATGACACGCCTGAGGCCAGCCTGGTCTACACAGTGATACTGTGATATTCCAGACCAGCCAGGGATACTCAAACACTCTATCTCAAACTGAGAATAGGGCTGGAGAGGTAGCTCAGTGGTTAAGAGCACTGCCTGTTCTTCCAGAGGTCCTGAGTTCAATTCCCAGGAACCACATGGTGGCTCACAACCATCTGTAATGGGATATGATGCCCTCTTCTGGTGTCTGAGGAGAGCAACAGTGTACTCGTGGACATAAAATAAATAAATAAATCTTTTTTAAAAAAGAAACACCCTGAGAATAATTAATAAACAGTAAAAAGGAATAATCCAGAAAATTCCAGCGAAATGGTGGTGGAACACACCTTTAATTCACTAACAGCACTAGGGAGGTAGAGGCAAGTAGATCTATGAGTTCAAGGCCAGCCTGGTCTACATAGCAAGGTCTAGGCCAACCAAGGTTACATAGAAAAATCTATAGTAAAAACAACAGCAGCAACAACAACAAAAAACAACCCCAAAAAAGATCATTTCAGCCAGCTGGTGGTGGTGATGCACCTCTTTAATCCCAGCACTAAGGAGGTAGAGGCAAGTGGATTTCCAAGTTCAAGGCCAGTCTGTCTACAGACTGAGTTCCAGGAAAATCAGGGGGGCTATGAAGAGAAACCCTGTCTCAACATCCCCCCACCCCACCCCACCCCCACAAAGTTATCTCCATAAATGTCCTTGTAAAAGCCATTGAATAGATACAGTGATGCATACCTGTCATCCCAATACTCCAGGGACTAAATAAAGCAGGAGGATTGCAAGTCTGAGGCCAGCTTGCCACAATACATGGCAAGTTCAGGGGTAGATTGATCATAACCACATCTGAAGAAGCAAACCCACCACCACAATAAAACACATTGAGTACAGTTAGAGAACGGTGATCCTATGGTTACAGGGACTGATGTTCCTAGGTCATAGAAAGTTAGCAGCCATGCAAATAAAACAAATACACTCAGTGGGACAATACAGGCAACACCTGGCATCACAATGAGGACAGTTTCTGTCAGATTCCCAAGTAAAGTGGTCTGTAAAGAACAGTAGTGTCTAATCTGTATGTACCAATTAATGTCATCCAAGGCAAAAGTAAAGCCTGAGGAATTAGGGTGGAAGAGAATGGGACAGTTCCCTTAGGAGGAGATGGCTACTCTGACCACAGTACATTCTCGTTTACACATGTCCCATGGAGAACAGGGTTCTGAAGAACAGGACAGTAACAGTGTCACCTCTGAGATACTCCCCACTTCTGCAACAATACCTCTTCGACATTGCAGGCTGTCTTGGCTGATGTTTCCATGAATATGAGGCCGTGCTCCCGAGCAAAGGCCTCTCCTTCCTCTCTTTTCACATCCCTTCGAGATTCTAGATCACTGTAAGAGATTAATTAGGAAGGAAACTTTAAAGATTTAAGAGAAGGGGGTAACCATAGTTCTAAAAGGACCCCACAGCAGCTTAAAACTGTCAACTGACGCTTGAAACATGGAGATCCTACATGACACCTTTTGTGTAGACTTAATTGACTTCCATAGTCTCTTGGAAGATATTATTCACATTTATAATACCTTCTGCATGGCTGAAGATAATACCGTTCTTGGTTACAGAGAACAGGCTTAGAGAAGTGAGCAAGCCTCAGTCACTCAAGGTTCCCTATGCCCTTTCAAGTGGGATCCAGGACAGCACAGTAGAGATGGGAAAAAGGAGGCGTCATTTACTGGAATCTTAAGCCTAAGGATTTCTCATTTTGTAGAGAAGACTCTCTTCCTTCTGGTTTTTTTTTTTTTTTTTTCTTCAAGACAAGGTTTCTCTGTGTGGCCCTGGCTGCCCTGGCAACTTGCTCTGTAGAGTAGGTTGACCTTGAAATCAGAGATCAGCCTGCTTCTGCCTCCTAAGTACTGCAGTTAAAGGCGTGTGCCACTGAGTGCCTAACTTACTCTTTTCCTAGCATAAACTCATGAGAGATTAAACCAGGACTTAAGAGAGCAGTCATCTTAATTCTTACTAGTCTCATTTCTAGTTTGTATGAAAGAGACTTAGCACTGTGGAATTAGAGAAAATGACAGGATAGAATCATTTGATATGGGGAGAAAAGGAGCCAAAACCAGAAATGGAGTGAAGTAGCATGGAAAGGCCAGGAAACACAGATTAACAAGCTAGTGACAAGCTAGTGAAAGGACACAGGAGGACACACAGAATCAAATGACCTGGTCTCATAGGGGCTCACAGAGATGAACCAACAACCAGGGAACTTGCACGGGGCTGACCTAGGCTCTTTGAATATATGTTACAGTTGTGAAGCTTGGTGTTCTTGTGGGACTCCTAACAGTGGGAGCAGGGGCTATCTCTAACTTTGTTGCTTGCTTCTGATTCTTCTGGGTTGCCTTGTCCAGTCTTGAAGGAGAAGCGCCTAGTCTTACAGAAACTTAATATGCCTAATTTAGTGGACATCCATGAGAGATCTGCCCTTTCTGAAGAGAAAAGGAGGAGTGGATGCAGTGGGGGGGACTGGGAGCTCTACAGAGGGAACCTGTGGTAAGGGTGTAATATATAAGAGAATTAAAGAAAAAGGGCTGGTGAAAACAGTAAGATTGATCTGACTTTTCTTTTTCTTTTTTTTTAAAGTTTTATTTATTTATTTATTTAATATATATGAATATACTGTCGCTGTCTTCAGATACACCATAAGAGGCATCAGATCCCATTATAGATGGTGTGAGCCACCATGTGGTTGCTGGAAATTGAACTCAGGATCTCAGGAAAAGCAGCCAGTGCTTTTAGCTACTAAGCTATCTCTCCAGCCCTCTGGCTTTTATTTTCAAATGGGATTTTTGTGTTTTGTTTTGTTTTGTTGAGACAGGGTCTCTTTGTGTAGTCCTGCCTGCCAGGAACTTGCACTATAGACCAAGTTGGCTTCACACTCAGGGATCCACCTGCCTTTACCTCCTGAGTGCTGGGATTAAAGATGGGAAGAAGATTCTAACCTTTTAATAATTTAGAAGAAGGAAGAAGAGGAAGAAAAGGAAAAAGAGGAAGAAGAGGGAGAAGAAGAGGAAGAGGATGACAAAGAAGAAGGAGAAAAAGAAAGTAGTATAGTAGTATAGTAGTAGTAGTAGTTTATTGTGTTAGAGTTACTACTGCTGTGACAAAATACCATGACCAAAAGCAATCTGGTCATGAAGAAAAGTTTATCCAGCTTAAGCTTCCATATCACAGTCCCTCATCAACAGAAGTCAGGACTCCTTACAAAAGGCAGGACCTGGAGGCAGGAGCTGATGCACAGGCCATGGAGGGATGCCGCTTACTGGCTTATAGAACCTAGGACTACCAGCCCAGGGATGACACCACCCACAAAGGGCTGGGCCCTTCTCCATCAATCCTTAAGAAAATGTCCCATGCTGGGTGTGGTGGAGCATGCCTTTAATTTCAGCTTGACTAACACGCACAAAGAACAGGTTCAGTCTCAGGACCAGGTGTGTGGAGCTTGCCCTTAATAATCCTACCACTTAGAAGATAAAAGCCGGAGGAACAGAAGATGCAAGTTACCCTCAACTAGTGTGTAGGAGGAGCTAAGGTGGGAGGAGTTAGCAGAGGAAGAGGAGGAGTAAGGAAGAGAAAAGAAAAAAGGAAGTGGAGGAGCTAGGAGAGAGAGACAGAGAAGAGATGTAGGAGGATGGAGAACCATACAAGTATGGAGAGCACTCATGGGGAACAACTTATAAACTTATAATTAGGTTAGCTAATTGAGATACAACTCTCTTTGTATGGGCATCTTGTTATTAATCATTATCAAACATATAAAGCCTTTGATTAATCTATAAGAATTAGAGTCTCATTCTCTTACTGGGCCCACATGGATGGCAGAATGGTCTGGGCAATGCCCTGCCTTGTGGAGACAGTGTGGAAGATTGGTAGAGCCATCTCTCACGCATGCATCTAGTGGGTGGCAGGGCTGGTGTTTCTGGCGGGCCAGTTCTAGCTGCAGTGCGCACGTGGCCTCCGGCCGAGAAACATGGCGGCTGGGCTAGGCAGAGCCGCTGCAGCTTGGATAGTCGGCTTGACCAGCGGCCGTTTTAAATCATTACTACAATAAAGTGGCGCACCAATTTCGGGCACGAATTCACTAGAAATTTAAGTCTATTCACCTGAGAGTAAAAGTTGTGTTTTTTTTTCTTTAAAGAAAGTGAGTGAGTGATTGGCACTGATAGGAGTCACGTGACTCCTAGCGTGGGAACCCTGAACAAAAAACTGCAGCTGAACTCCCCGGCTGTGGGGAAATGCAAGTTGCTTTTTGTTAGGAAAAGAAGAAAGTAGTTGACTCTAGAGAGTACAGTGTCTGTGAATTAAAATTGAGATTATTTGTTTTTAAGATAGATTTAGAAACAGTTTTGTCCGATTTCACGTGGGGAATCTTGCCTGCAGTTTGGAACAAAGACAGGTAGAGAAAATCCGCCTGTAGCTCTAGGCACAGAACCACAGACAGACAGGTATACTTTGAACCAAGAAAGCCTCCATTGTGGAACAGTTATTGATTTAAGTATAAAGTTAAAATATAGGGATTATTTGCTTTTAGGAAAGATTTATAAACATTTGTCTGAATCATGTGGGGATTATTGCCTGCGGTTTGGAACTTAGATGGGGAAAATTGTCACTGGCTCTAGAGTAGAGAGTACGGTGTATAAGTGGAAGCTGCTCTGGAGTACAGAGCCAAACAGATAGATGGTATAAATAAAAAACTGTTCTAGACAGAGGGCCGAACAGAAAGATAGTGTAAATCAGATGTATTCAGATGATACAAAGTTGCCGGGCAGTGGTGGCGCACGCCTTTAATCCCAGCACTTGGGAGGCAGAGGCTGGCGGATTTCTGAGTTTGAGGCCAGCCTGGTCTACAGAGTGAGTTCCAGGACAGCCAGGGCTACACAGAGAAACCCTGTCTAGAAAATCAAAAAACAAAACAAAAAAACAGATGATATAAAGTTATATTGCCTCACAGGAGACTCGGGTTCTGTCTAATGTGGGCCCCATGGGAATTCTGGGTTCATTTCCTGCTTGGCAAAAATAGGGAAGACCTAAAGAATAGGCACATACAGTATTTTAGTTATTAAGTTGATTTTATTTTCAAGATGGGTATGATTTTCAGTTTTTCGGTTATATTTTTCCTCTGGGAAAGAGGTCAAGATAAAGGTTTTTCTGGTTACTGGCTTAAGGAAATTCTGTTTTGGGAAAAAGCTTTTGTCTGTGTGTTTTCCGAAGAGATGATTAAGATACTTCTACCTCCAAGAATTATATGGATTAGACATGACAGAGGCAGGCCACCAGAATACTAGATTCCAGAATTCAAACAAAAAATTACTTTGATACTAAAATTTGTTTTGAGAATTATATATTGCAGAATACACAGCCTTTTGTATCTACTCATCAAGCAAGCTGAGCAGACCTGCTCGAACCTCTGATGTCCTGGAATTTCAGTTGGATGCAGTTAAAACACAGACATCAGAAGCTTATCAATTTACCCTTCCCCCCACCCCTCTTCTAATATTCAATGCCCATAATCAGCTTGAAGAAGTAAATGAAGAGTCGGTGCCCCTATTTCCTGGGCTTGGGGACTGACGTGGTTAATATTAGTCTGTCCTTCTAGGGTTAAAAGTAATGGTTTTATTGGAACAGGGAAGAATAGTTAGAATTGATTACTTAGCCATAACCTATTTGGTAGAAATCTGTATAATTGTTATTAAGCTAAAGTTATATATATATTTTTTTCTTTTGAGACAGGGTTTCTCTGTGTAGCCCTGGCTGTCCTAGAACTTACTCTGTAGATCAGGCTAGCCTCAAACTCTCGAACTCAGAAATCCGCTTGCCTCTGCCTCCCAAGTGCTGGGATTAAAGGCGTGAGCCACCACCGCCTGGCAAGTTATATTTCTTAAATGGTACAAAATTTACTTTGATTTCAAATTTAAGGTTTTCATTGGTATGAGTTTCTTATTGATATAAAAGTGAGATTACTATTGTTATTCTCATAGGCATTGTGCCTATATAACACATTTAGGAATACAAGGTTTAGACCCAGTCCTTTTTTAACTTTTTAAAAACTGATTTGAGATGGTTAGCCTGTGAGTTAAGGGCCTATAGCAAATTCATGGCTCTGAATTTACTATTAGCGTGTTTTCTAGATTATAATTAGAAATAGCAGAAAGGAGTTAACGGACAACAGTCCAGATTGCTTTACATAGATAGTTGGTTTTCAAAATGTCCACAGAATTGATGTTATAGGCATTCCTGTATAAACGTTCATACTATTAGAGACCTGTCTGCTCCTGACAGCTTCCTGTCTTGGATTCTAAGAAGAAATTGAGCATCTTTGGAGTTACTCCAGTTGTGGTGAGACAGCCACTAGGCAAGAATTGCCTCTTTTCATCTACAGACAAAACACTGTCCAGAAAAAGAACACACTTGCAGAATAGTTGACTGATTATATCGGCCAAGACAGAGTAATCAGCCCTTAAAAATTCTGCATTACTAGGTCTGTCAGATGATCCTGGGCCAGAAGGCTGAAGATCAGATGCTCCAACGTTTTGAGGTTTAGGGACTGTCCAGGTGTTCAGTGGGCTCTAAAAATTGGTTAAGTTTTAGAAGCTATGCTTTGTGCTTCCCAGGATTTCAATTAATTCAGTCATTCTGGATTTCTGACGAGGCTATTTCTGACCCAGGCTATTTACTTTGAGAGAATAAATTTGAGAGGATGGTTTTCAGCTGACATTCATTCTAAAACCAAGTTTAGAACTAAGTCTTTTAGTTAGGAGAGATGACAGAGGTTCTGTTTAGTCAACAAAATGATGGACTGGGTATTAGGTCTACCTTGTACCTTACTGATACAAATTGGTATAGTTATGCTCTAATTGTATTTTTTGTTTGTTTGTTTTTGTTTTTTTGAGACAGGGTTTCTCTGTATATCCCTGGCTGTCCTGGAACTCACTCTGTAGACCAGGCTGGCCTCGAACTCAGAAATCTGCCTGCCTCTGCCTCCCAAGTGCTGGGATTAAAGGCATGCGCTGCCACTGCCCGGCAATCTCCATCTTTCTATGTATCCAAAGATGGCTTTAAAACCCCCATCTAACTGTCTCTACTTCCCAAATCTTGGGATTACATGGTGATGTCTGGCTTATTGATTTGATTTTTTTAAAAATATACTTATTTATTTGTTTATCTACTTATGTATCTGTGTGTGTGTGTACACATATCACCTGCATTACGATGTATACATGGAGATCATAGGACAACCCTCAGCAGTCAGCTCTCTGCTTTTACCATATAGGGCCCAGGGACTGAACTCAGGTTGTCATGGTTGGTGGCAGGTCACTCCACCCACCAAACCATCTCACTGACCCTGACAGGATTTTGATATATAGGGCAATCTGGCCTAGAACTCACTATATAGTGCAGGCTGGTCTCCTGCCTCTGCCCCACAGTGCAAACAGATATGCACAACTACATTAAATCTAAGTCAAGGGTTTCTTTTGTCCTATAAATACATTCTTTTTTTCTGAAACTAGAACTACAAAGTGTGCCCAAAACTAAACTGGAGCCCTTGTGAACTGCCGGGAGGAACACAGCATGGTCCTCATTGCTGCAGTGAGAAGTACCATGGTGATTCTTCAAAAGTTAAACATGATGTCCGTGGTCCAGTAACCCTGCTGATCTTGTAGCAAAAGAACTTGAAGGAGAGAACTTTACAAATATCTTTGTTCCCATGTTCATGACAATATCAGTTACAGTAGCTGCAAACTGGAACTGGCAGCAGCCCAAGTGTCCACGGAGGAGGGGGATGCTTGGGGGGGGGTGTATGGAATGAAATGTGGCAACAGTGCACACTACAATCCTGAAAAAGCAAGTTTTAAAACATGCTACAGCATGGACAGAGCTCCAAGACAAGATGCTACGTAAAGTAAGCCACTCATAACAGCACAAGTGCTGTGAACTCTGCTCACACGAGAGATTTATAAAGTAAGCCACTCATAACAGCACAAGTGCTGTGAACTCTGCTCACACGAGGGATTTATAAGGAAAGAATGTAGGGGCTGGAATGTGATGGTGCATTCCTGTAATCCCAACATTCTATTGAGCGAAAGAAAGAAGGAAAAAAGAAAGGAAGGGGAGAAAGGAAGGAAGAAAGAAAAAAGAAACAAACTGAGGACAGGATACATGACAGAATTCAATGGTTCTAAAGTCTGAGAAAATGAAAAGTTGAGATGGATAATGGTGAGGTTTGCAGAAGCATTCTAATAAGTTTGGGGCTACAGAATACTCTAGGAAGTACTTAAAATTGTAAAGTGTATATATTTCTTACCATACTAGCATTTCTTACTAAGATGATATATTAAGGAAGTCTGAGTATCAAGAAATTCAATGTCAATCAGATGGCACATGCCTACAGACCCAGCCTTTTAGAGATAGAGGCAGGAGGATGGCAGCATATTCTAGGCTAGCCTGGGATACAAATTGAGTTACAGGCCATCCAAACTACTTCGGAGATTTGACTTCTTAAAATCAAATCAAATCAAACCAAAACAGAATGATAAGAAACTCAGTATCTACAGAGTCAGTCCAATGCATCCTGGTAACTAGTACTTACAAAGATAAGAATTTACCTCTTATTCCCAATCAGCATAATAACCATGTTGGAGCTGGAGTGCTGGCGGGCATCCTCTAACCATGAGGTCAGGTGGTTGAAGGTTTCGCGTCTGCAGCAGAACAATTTAGAATGCTGGTCAGAAGCCTGTTTCAAAAAGCCAAAGTTGCTCCAAAAGCATGAGAAAGGGTGGTACATATGCGAAAAAAGCAGCTGCCCTACTCTATGTCCTTGGCAGAGGCCATAGGCAGAAGACAGCTCAGGGAAGTCAGGCAAGAACCCTCCCACATTTCAGCCAGCTCACCTCGTGATGTCATACACCAGGAGGGCTCCAGCTGCTCCCCTGTAGTAGGAACGGGTGATAGAACGGAAGGACTCTTGCCCAGCCTTTACCATCAACATGGCAACAAAAAAATCCCAGGAAAACTAGGTTATTTCCAGAGAAGAGACTTACTCACATGCCACCCTAAAACAAAGAATTTAACTAAAGAAAGAACTTGTGCTAGGTTAAACATCATCATCATCTAAGGAAAAGAAAGGTACCTGAACAGGGAGGACCCCAGGTAGACTTGTTCAGTAGGAACAAGACTGAGATCTCGGGTGGGTCAATTACTACTTCTCAAGAGATTGTGCATCAAACTGTTAGATCTTCATTATCCTTAGGTCCAGACACCCAATGCCAATAGCATGATACCAACAACCTTCATACACATTTCCCAATACCCCTAAAACTGGGAACAGAGCTGGAAACTCAACCCCAAATAAGTCATTGAATAGACTACATTACTTTTCCTATTCTTATTTATCTGTAAAAAAATTTAGAATGCCAATACCCTATTCAATGGAAGGCTCATTCCAATGAAACAATGCAGAAAAAGATATAAGCAAGTGACTCTTGTGCTGAGTAACCCCTGCATTTCTCCAATAACAGCAAGAATATCTGGACATTCCTTGCTGAGATCCTATGGTGGAAAGTAAAAATAAGGAAGAGGAAATGATGTCCAGGACCTAGAATAGTTCTCCTTAAAAGAATCTTGTTCAGCCAGGTCAGGTGGTAGTAGTACACAGCTTTAATCCCAGCACTCAGGAGGCAGAGGCAGGCACATCTCTGTGAGTTTGAGGCCAGGTTGGTCTATAGAGTGAGTTCCAAGACAGCCAGGACTACACAGAGAACCTTGTCTTGAAAAACCAAAAAAAAAAAAAAAGAAAGAAAGAAAGAAAGAAAGAAAAGAAAAAAAGAAAAAGAAATGTGTTCATAATCTTATTTCTGACAGGACCAAAACATTGCTTTATGTATAACTGAGCAATTAATTCCCCCCCATGCACTAGATACTTTTTATTTTCTTTTCTAAGATTTATTTATTCATTTTATTTATACAAGTACACCATAGCTGTCTTCAGACACATCAGAAGAGGGCACCACAGATGTTTGTGAGCCACCATGTGGGTGCTGGGAATTGAACTCAGGACCTCTGGAAAAGAACCAGTGCTCTTAATCACTGAGCCATCTCTCCATCTCTCATCCTCTACTTTTGTTTTCTTAACATAATAGTTCCTTTATTTTATTTTTGTTTAATGGAACCCCAGATGTCATTTAAATAAAAACACTGGGTTGCTGAGATGGCTCAGGTATTAAGAGTGCTTACTGCTTGTAATGGTTTATTTATGCTGGGTGCAGGGAGTGGCACTATTACAAGGTGTGGCCCTGTTGGAGTAGTTGTGTCACTGTGGGCATGGGCTTTAAGACCCTCATCCTAGCTGCCTGAAAGCTAGTATTCAGATAGCAGCCTTCAGATGAAGATATAGAACTCTCAGCTCCTCCTGCACCATGCCTGCCTGGATGCTGCCACCCTCCTGCCTTGATGATAATGGACTGAACCTCTGAACCTGTAAGCCAGCCCCAATTACATGTCTTTATAAGAGATGCCTTGGTCATGGTGTCTGTTCACAGCAGTAAAACCCTAACTAAAACACTGCTCTATCAGACGATGGAAGTTCAAACCCCAGTACCTACACTGGGCAGCTCACAAATGCCTGTAACTCCAGTTCCATGGGATCCAGTGCACTTTTGTGGCCTGTGTGGGCACCTCATGGACACATGCACATATACACACATAAATAGACACATCCTGGTGTGCTGGTGCCCACTTCTAACACTAATATCCTGGGACTCATGACACTGAAGCCATAGAACCCCAAATTTGAGGCCAGTCTGGGATACAGAGCAAGACCCTGTCTCAAAAAATAAACTAGAAAGTCACCCAAAAAATATTCTGTGTGTTCAATCATCCTGTTAGAAAAGTTTTCATATTTCTGGAATAATTTCTCCTCAGAAAACCCAGAAAATGAAAGTCATCCTTACTCTATAGCCAGGAAAACTATAATAGAAACATGGGAACATGAATGGGTTTTTATAGCATACCACCAACCGGTAATAGTGCTGATACTATAGTAACATTACAGTGCTTGTTTGAATTTTATTTACTTTTACGTGTATGAGTGTTTTGCCTGCATACTTGATGTATAACATGTGTATGTTTGGTATCTATGGTGCTCATAAGATGGCACTGGATCCCCTGGAACTGAAGAAATGGATGGTTATGAGCCACCATATAGGTCCTGGGGATCAAACTCAGGTCCTCTGTAAGAGCACGAAGAAGTGCTCTTAAGCACTGAGCCATCTCTCCAGCCTCTATAATAACATTTTAAACTATTATTTTTTTCCTAGCAGTGTATCATGAACCATAAGAGACAATCACATACATTATCTCATTTAACTCTCCTAGTATCCCTAAAGTGACTGATATTATTCTCCTTCAAAAATGGAGGAAAAAAAAATGCCTAAAGGGGCAAGTTCAATAACTGTCCAAAAAGCACACAGCAGAGCTGAAAATGCAGGGCCATAGTGTTTCATGCACAGAAGCATTTCACTCTAAACTGGGGCATAAATGTGACTAACTTACAGTGACTTTTTCCCTCTTACAGTGTCCTTACAGTGACACACACACCTCTGTAGGCATTATACAATTCCTTAGCCTGTTAGAATTCTGATAGATCTACAATTACTAGAAATTCTGGAACTTACCAGAATTACCAGAATTTAGTAATTCTGGTAATTCTAGAAACATGTTGAAGATTTGAAAAGCACTTTTGTTCACTAAGAACCCTGTAGGACTTTTGATTTGCCCTGTCAGAGTGAACCCCAGCTCTTCTGGGGTTCTGGTTTTGCTTTTATTTCTTACTTTTTGTTCTCTTCTGCTCTACTCTAAAATCTTCCTCAGTCTTCCTTATAGACTGAGCTGACACACACTGGCATCCCAGTAATTAGGAGGCTGAGAGAGAGAGGAGATTGCCTAGCCAACCTAAGCTACACAGTGAACCAGGCCCAAAAACTCGAGGCAGGGTTGGGAAGACGTGGGAGTGGGAGATTATGACACACAGAAAGAGTCATGGGATGGCTTCCAGCTGACAACTAGGAAACGTTGAAACATCAAATCTCTACTGCTACAGGGTATTCGACCACACAGTGAACTCTGAGATTGTTTTATTTACTGGAAAAATCTGGTTTTAGTTGTGGTGTGCCTCAGCCTTAGCATGCACCTTTAATCCAAGAGTTTTCTGCTTGAATATTGTAAACAAGATTAAACAGTTGACAAGGAGTAAACATAGGATTATAAAGAAATAACCATAGAGAGGGAGTCAGGGGGACGGATAGCGAGACACACAGGAAGTGGAAAGGAGGGACATTCAGTTTGAAGAAAGTTTTTTGACAGAGGGGTATACCTTCTGGGACCTCGGCAGAAGAGAAGGTCAACTGGGTGCTTTCTCTGCCTCTCTGAGCTAGCTGGTTTTCACCCTTAGCTCCTGGGTCTTCATTAGTAAAATTGAAAGATTGAGATTTTGTTTAAAAACAACACTTCGCTTTTTCTCTTCTTTTTTTCTTTTTCTTTCTTTTTTTTGGGGGGGGGTTTCAAGACAGGGTTTCTCTGTGTAGTCCTGGCTGTCCTGGAACTCACTCTGTAGACCAGGCTGGCCTAAAACTCAGAAATCCGCCTGCCTCTGCCTCCCAAGTGCTGGGATTAAAGGCGTGCGCCACCACTGCCCGGCTCTTTTCTTTCTTTCTTTTTTTTTTTTAAAAAAAAAGATTTACTTATTTATTTTATGTATATGAGTACACAGCAGCTGCTCTTAGGCCCACCAGAAGAGGGCATCAGATCCCATTACAGATGGTAGTGAGCCACCATGTTGCTGGGAATTGAACTCAGGACCTCTGGAAGAGCAGTCAGTGTCCTTAATGGCTGAGCCATCTCTCCAGCTCCCAAACACTCCACTTTTTCACGTCAGTCATGTTCATGAGCACTTTGGAGGCAATATGCTGGAAAGACTGACTATCTAGTTCAACTTAAGTGGGTCCATATCAATCTCAAATATCCTTGTCCTTGATCAGCTAAAAAATGTCTAAAGCAGCAAATAACTAACATGGAGTTTTTTGTTTTGGTTTCATTTTGTGAAATTCTGTAGCTTTGACTAGCTTACAACTAACTCATGATGTAGTTCAGGCCAGCCTTGAATTCATGTTGCTCCTCCCTCAGCCTTTAAAGCACTGGCCTATGGGCTATTTGAATGAGAATGGCCCCCACAGGTTCATATGTTTGAATGCTTGGGACCCAATTAGTAGGACTGTTTGGGAAGGATTAGGAGATGGCCTTGATGGAGGAAATGTGTCACTAGGGCTTTGACGTTTTGGTCTGTGGGTCAAGATATAAAGCTCTCAGCTACTGCTCCAGTGTCATACCTGTCTGCTTTCCGCCAGGATGATCACTGAATAACCTCCAAAGCTGTCAAGAAGCCCCTAAGTTTCTTTTTTTTGTTGTTGTTGTTGTTTTTTGTTTGTTTGGTTGGTTTTTTTTCTAAGTTCCTTTTATAAGAGTTGTCTTAGTCATAATGTCTTCTCACAGCAATAGACAATAAGTAAGACATAGGTGTAGGCAAGCCACCACACCAAAAGTTGAACATGGAACTTTGATGAAGATTTGTAATTTCTCCCAAGTGAGAGCAAGAAATACAGTTTGAAATATCAGCTATAAGTCAGATATTGGTTTTGTTGTTGGTCTTTTGTTGGTGATGGGTTTTTTGCTTAGTTTTTTGTTGGGGAGGTTATTTTTTTCTTTTTGTTTTTGTATTTTCAGAAACCTCTCACTGTTTTGGCTGGGTTGGAAATCTATGTAGACCAGGCTAGCCTTGAACATGTGGGGACCCACTTGCCTCTGTCTCCTGAGCGCTGGGATGGCATGCATCAGCATACCAGGTTTGCCATGCAGTTCTTAAGGATCCTATCCACAGGCTCATACAGCTGTCTGTAAACTTCCTTCATGACCCAACCATGTCTCATGTCAGCACTTAAGGAGAAAGAGAAAAAGCCAGCAAGCCAGCAGCATGGCCATGAAATATGGCACACAAAAACAATGTGTCTAGATTAGGCAAAACTACACCACATCATGCCAAACTTCAAGAGTACTTCACTGATTAAAACACAGGCAACTTTTACCTTCGATTTTCATATCTGGGCAAATAATCCATGGAAATTCTCAAACATTTATATAAAATTATAATAAATTAGAATGTTTAATGAAGCTGTGCAGTGGTTGAAAACTAGAAACAAAATTAATGTCCATCAATGCAATGGAGGCTGGCTAAATAAATACATGGTACATACATTCTGTGACTATGTGGTTGTTAAGTGAGTCAGATCTGTAGTTACTGATAGAAAACATCTCCAAGGTATCAAAACTACTATACAAAAAACACAGCTATGACTATTCTGTCACAATTCTATACATATTAATACTAATGAAAACAAAAATCTTGGGCTGGTTGCTTCTCAGTAAGCAAAGCACTTGTCATGCAAACCTGACAACCTGAGCCTGATCCTTGGGACCCTTTCTTGATAGGATAGAAAGAGAACCACTCCACAAAGCTGTCATCTGACTTCCACTCACACCAGGTCACATGCACACACTGTCAAACACACAAGCAATAAATATATTATTTTAATAAAAAAAACCCAAAACATTACTTGCATCTGTCTGTCTATCTATCTACCTATCTATCCATTTATATCTACTCATTTATTTATGTATTCATTCATTCGTTTTGTAGGCTAGTCTGGACTACAACTAATAACAACTTAATAAGATATCTGCCTGCCTCTGCCTCCTCAGTGCTGGGATTAAAGACATGTGCCACTACTGTCTGGCTGACATATTCTATTATTTAGGAATTTCAATGCACAGAAGTCTGAAAGAATACGCACCAAATCATTAACAGTGGGTTCTTCTGGGAGAATAGCAAGAATGTGACACAGAAAAGGGCCTTATGTAAGAGGATGTTCATTTTTGGCTATATAAACTTCGATTGCTTTTTAATTTTTACTGTATTAGTTGAGTTTTATTTTTTATTATTATTATTTTTAAATGTATTTATTATGTATTATGTATTCTGCCTGCATGTATCACTGCTGGTCAGAAGAGGGCACCAGATCTCATTACAGATGGTTGTGAGCCACCATGTGGTTGCTGAGAATTAACTATTGAACTCAGGACCTCTGGAAGAGCAGTCAGTGCTCTTAACCTTTGAGCCATCTCTCCAACCCCAGTTGAGTCTTTTTATTATTATTATTATTATTATTATTATTAATTATTATTATTATTATTTTATTATTATTTTGTTTTGTTTTTTCAAGACTGGGTTTCTCCATATAGCCTGGGCCATCCTGGAACTTGCTTTGTAGACCAGGCTGGTCTTAGAGATCCATCTGCCTTCATTTTTTAAAATAAAAAAGGTATGACACCTTGTTTTTGACCTGAGTATCTCAGTGTGTAATCCCTCCTGGCTTGACCTTTCTTGGGCTTCTTGCCTCATCCTACAGTTTTAAAACTACAGGTATCTAGCACTGCACATGGCTGCATTAGCTTTTATTGTTATAACTGGGTCTTGGCCTGGTTCTAAATTGTTTTGCCCTCTCTTACCGTATCCCAGATTTGCAGTTTGATTTGTTTTCCATCGATGTTGACCATACGTGCTCCAAACTCCACACCTGTCAGTAAAGATCAAGGGAACGAATATGACTGTAATGAACACATACACGTTAATCTAGAGGCTCAAGCTTTTCCCCAGGGTTATAATAACGAGTCCTTTGTCTTCACTCACTGATATTCAGTCGAATAGTGGTTATTGCTCCAATTGAATTTGTGTTCCTTTTAGTTTCTTTTCTAGAATTAAAAATCCACAGACTGGGGATGCAGCACAGCTGATACAGTACTTGCCTAGAATGCAGGAAACCCTGGAGTCAATCCCCAGAACCACATAAAACTGGGCACAGGACTGGAGAGATGGCTCAGTGGTTAAGAGCACTTGGTCTTAGAGCAGAGCAGAGTTTGGTTCCCAACACCCACGTCCAAGGGCTGATAACTCCCTGTAACTCCTGCTGCAGGGGGTTCAACAATCTCTGCAGGCCCCTGAACACATATGCACAAATACATATGCACATACACACATACAAATAAAAATTTTAAAAATCTGAGGGGAAAAACAACACATACGTGTTGCCAAAGCTAGTTCTTTCCCTAGGTCTGTTTTACAAATTCTGGTAATAAACTAAGTTTGATTTATTACATAAGCAGTTGATTTATTTTAAGGCCTTATAATGATGAAGACTATCTAGAGCATCTTTTATTAGCCTTAAGAAAAGTGGCACTGCAGTCACTGTAACAATTTGCAAATAATATCTGAAGAATGTGTACTCACTACAAAGCAAGTTCTAGGACAGCCAGGGCTATACCAAAAAACTCTTGTCTCAAAAAAAAAAAAAGAAGAAGAAGAAAGAAAAATTAAAAGAAAAGAAGTAGGCACTAAAGGAAAGTTTTGTGACAACCAGTTCCCATAAAATGAACTGCAAAGCTACAATTCATAGAAAAAAATTCTAGAAAATTAATAATTCTAGGACAAATAAGGCTAAAAGAGATGAATAAATTCTTAGGAATGTTAGTTTACACTGAAATCTGACTAGGTAATATTTAATTCTGCAATTTTTTTCAAAGAACTTCTAAACTGTTTGAAAGTAATGTAAGTATGTGTAACATACATGGCTGGTACCTGTGGGGACCAGAAGAAAGCAAAGGGTCACCTGAACATGAGTGACAGATGGTTGTGAGCCAAAATGTGGGTGCTGGGAATTGAACCCTTGTCCTTGGGAGAGCAATCAGTGCTCTTAACTGCTGGATCAGCTCTCTAGCCCCACTGAAAACATTTTTTTGACAGTGTCTCGGAGTGCTGACTAGTTCTATGTATGAAGCAGCACTTCTTAACTGTAATTCTAAAACTAGTTTCATTTGCAATTAAGGAAGCTGCCTAAGAAACAGGTCTTCAAGGACAAAATTTCTTCAACCACCGGTAATATTAACTTCTCTCAAAGCAGTATGGAAACTGATGAACTGATATGGCTTTGGCATTTATCTATTTCAAGGCAAAATTCATCTTTTTCAAGGACAATATTTCAAAAAGACCAAAAAACAAAAAACCCTACTGCATCACACACACACACAATTCATCCCCTTTTCTTTTTTCAAAATAGTATTTTGCATATAGCATTTGAATTCATATTTCCAAGAAAGATTAATAATCTAGCTTTACCTCAACAAAAATCAAAAGATTTTTTTTTTTTTTTTTTTTTTGGTTTTTCGAGACAGGGTTTCTCTGTGTAGCCCGGGCTGTCCTGGAACTCACTCTGTAGACCAGGCTGGCCTCGAACTCAGAAATCCTCCTGCCTCTGCCTCCCAAGTGCTGGGATTAAAGGCGTGCGCCACCACCGCCCGGCTCAAAAGATTTTTTTTTTGGAAAAAAAATTCACTGTCAATTTTTCTTTCTTTCTTTCAGAACAATAAGATTCTAATTTCAATGAGTAAGAAGCTAAAAAAAAAAACCAGGCTGAGTATAGTGGTGCATATCTAATCTAGCATTTAGGAAAATCAAGACTTATTCAAAGTCATTGTCAGGCTACTCATGGAGTTCAAAACCAGTCTCAGCACAAAAGCAAACTTATTAAGAAAGCCCTGTGATGGGGCATGCCTGTAATCCTGTAGTCACAGCAGTTGAAGGCTAATGCAGGAGGATCTCTGGGAGTTCGTGCCCAGTGTGGGTTATATAGTGAATATGAGGCTTTCATGGACTAAATAGCCAGAATTTGCCTCCAAAAGAAGAGAAGGTGAAGAGGGATGAGGAGGTGGAGGTGGAGGAAGAACTAGAATAGTCCTTACATTGGCTTTTACTTTTCCAGCCTTAAAAAGAATCATGTCGATGTTTACTTTGAAAAACATATGAGGCTGGTAGTTAACCACAAACTACAGATGAGATGTTTAATAAGCAGTCATGTTTCCACGGGATTTTTCCATAAACATACATGTAAGTTGCATTTGAAGAAAAAAGAAATCCTACAGCAACTGGTATTTATACTACATCCACCTCTAAAGTTACCTTTCAATCATTTACCCTCCACTTACCAGCTTTTATCATTTTTTTCTTTCTTTTATTCTTCTTTCTTTCTTTCTTTCTTTCTTTCTTTTTTTGGTTTTTCTTTTCTTTTTGGTTTTTCGAGACAGGGTTTCTCCGTGTAGCCCTGGCTGTCCTGGAACTCACTCTGTACACCAGGCTGGCCCTCGAACTCAGAAATCCACCTGCCTCTGCCTCCCAAGTGCTGGGATTAAAGGCGTGCGCCACCACCGCCCGGTTTATCATTTTTCATATACCATGACTTCAGACTAAGGCAGTGAGAAATAACTTTTTATTTAGAATATTGAGACTGTTAACTTTCTCCTTTAGCAGTTCTGTCAGCTAGCTTTTATCTGTTCTGGAACGAGGAGATAAGCTTACCTATTGTGAGGTCGTGCACAGGCTGGAACCGCTTGTCGGTAAACTGAAGCAGGAGACATGACTTACCCACACCTGAAGAAGAATGGTGTGCTTTAGATGGGAAGCCGCAGGCTCCCAGGCGGGGGACAGGGTCTAAGGGGCAGAGCCCCGCCCCCGGAGCTCGCCCCGCCCCCTCCACTCAACTCCACTAGCCTCGCCCCGCCCCAGCCGATTTTGGAGGTAGGATCCCCGCCCCAACCTGGAGGCGGTCCGTCGGCCGGTTACCTGTGTCTCCGATGATGATGTACTTGAAGAGATACGCGTAAGTCATGGTCCCGAGGCGTCTGTGTTCCGGGTCCTCCCGATTTCTACAGCCACTTACCTCCGACCTCTCTAGCCACTCAATCTACGGATCTCCTTATTTGCCTCCGCTCCGGCCCTTCTAGCTCAAGCTGCGTCTCTATTGCTCTCCCCAGAAATCTTCACTGGATCCGGAATACCGGACGCCGGCTCTAGGGCCGCCCCATGCTCTTCTACTTGCCATTATTCCACCAAGCTCCAGGGGGCGACAGCGATCCTTCGGACAGCTCGGATCGCGACTGGTTGCGTCCCTGACTCAGTCCAATCGTCGGAGAAGGACGCTCCTCCTTGAGGAAGTGACGTGTTCGGAACCTGGTAGGGGCGGTGGGAGCGATGCGGACGCGGAGACGCTGAGACCCTGGTAGTGGTGCTGTGAAGATGGAGGTAGGCGCTGAGTATGGAGGGTTGATGAAGGTCCGCGGCCGATTAGTGGAAGCAGAAGCGAGAATGCAGGGCAGCGAGGAGCGAGGGGGGCTCGGGAGTGCTGGGAGGGCTGGGGTCTCAGCAAGCCCCTGCTCCGCTCACTTATCCTCGCGGCTTTCTTTTGGTTTACAGTTTCCCGGAGGAAATGACAATTACCTGACGATCACTGGGCCCTCGCACCCTTTCCTGTCAGGGGCCGAGGTGAGCAAAAGCTGCTGATGCTGGGGCGCCGGAGGGCCTAGGCAGCAGTTGGGGAAGGACGGTGGGGGTGAGCGCGGGGGCTGGCGGGAGCTGGAGAGGACAGTGGCCGAGGCTTCGAGCGCCTCTGAGGACTGTGGAGGGGGGAACGAAAGCGGCTGTCGTCAGAAAACCAGGATGTGGAAGAGACGACCTATTTAAGGAAAGAGTTTCTGTTCTGAATAGGAAGAACGAATGGAATTGTTCTTTGGTTGGGGTGAAATAATTAATCTTGGAGACAGCAAGAAAGAAATTTTTTTCAGTTAAGAAATCGAGATAAAGAGAGTAGTTTATCTAGCAAGGATTAACCTCGGACAGTTGTTAACTCTTGAACTCTGTAGGGGTCTCTTTTATGTGAAATGTCTTCTCTGATAAAAGTGGTTAATCTTACTGAAGACGTGGCTTCTGTTTGCTTTGCTAAGGAAGGAGAGAGAGAAAGAAATAGCTGCCAGAGAACATAAAAGGGGTAGAGTGCACCTGTTTCCCAGTGATCACAGACTGAATACTTCACCTTTGGATTTCAGTTGTCCAGTGACTATAATAATGGGGTTTGTTTTGCTTTGGTTTTTAAAGGTGGTGTGAGGTAGAATTAATGGTTGTTGCAGGTTCTAAGGCCTTCAACAAGGGTCGCCTAAGACCGTGGGAAAACAGATACTTTTATGATTCATAACAGTAGCAAGCTTATAGTTATGAAATAACAACGAAAATAATGTTATGGTTGGAAGTCACCACAACATGAGGAACTGTATTAAAGAGTCACAGCGTTAGGAATGTTGAGAGCCACTGCTCTAAGATATTCTGGAAAACTTTTGGTTGACAGATTTTCCTACTATAAACATAACACTTATTTGGGCAAGGAAAAGGTTCAGTGTATGAAATTTCCCCGTTTTTGAGAACTTGAGCCTTGGTCCATCTTTTGAGGATTTTATGCTACGTCCCCTACCCACAAAATGCTGTAAACTCATTTGCATGGTTTTTTGCACCAAAAGTAGTTGTCCATTACTGTTGTGTGGGTTTATCCTATAGGAACATTGTTATAGTTGAGAGATGATTGGCAGTGAGTAATTGCTAGCTTGCTTTTGGTTTTTTGGTTTTTTAGTTGTTTGTTTTTGTTTTTGTTTTGTTTTGTTTTTTAATAAAAGTCTCACATAGCTCTGGCTGTCCTGGAACTCACAATATAGTCCAGGCTGACCTCAAACGCAAAGATATCCACCTGCTTCTTCCTTTGCAGTAAAAAGTTCTTCCTATTCAGAACAGAACTCTTTCCTGAGATTAAAGGCATACTCCAGGGCTGGTGAGATGGCTCAGAGGTTAAGAGCACTGACTGCTCTTCCAGAGGTCATGAGTTCAAATCCCAGCAACCACATGGTGGCTCACAACCATCGGTAATGATATCTGATGCCCTCTTGTGGGGTGTCTGAAGACAGCTACAGTGTACTTACATATAATAAATAAATAAAAATTAAAAAAAAAAAAAAAAGGCATACTCCAGCACTCCTGGCTGCTGGTTTGTTTTTTAACGTATTATTACTGAATATTCTCCTAAGCAAAGGGAAGTGTGACTCAAATGAGTGGCAAAATGAGAAAGGAAACTAAGTCTTGTACTTGGTGATTTTACTCTGTCCAAGAGGTCTCCATGGTCTAAATTTCATTGTTTGGAGTGCAGTAAGTCATATTGCCCTTATTTATAGGAAAGTGAATTTTAAAAGTAAATACAAGGCTGGGTGTAGTGTTACACATCTTTCTAATCCTAGCATTTGGGAGGCAGAAGCATGTGTATCTCTTTTGTTCCAGAATTACATAGAGAGACCATGTCTCCGAAAAGGAAAAAAAGTAAATAACAGCTTTCAGACTTTTCCTACAGTCTTGTCTATGAAGTTAATCAAAAGCATGATCATGAGGAATGGCACTTTTTACATCCAGGGACTAGGTAGGGAAGCACTGGCCTATCGTGGGCTGGACCTTTGATGCAGCACTGACAGAAAGGGGAAGGACTTTCCAGCTTGTTTCTGCCCTTTGCTTTGTTATGGGTTATGTTTCTGTTGAGAGGAGGGGACATACAGCTAAGCTTTAAGCTCCATCTCAGTAACTTCCTTTAGGCCTGGACTCCGTCCTCGTTACTTAAAACTTATACACCTACTTGTTTCTGCCTCTCAGTGGATTTTTAAATTTTATGTTTTTGTTTTGTTTTGGGGGGATGGTTTCACCTTGTAGTCTTGGCTGACAGCAATCTTGCTATGTAACTAGGCTGGCCTTCATTTGTCTCTTGTTTCCTGAGTTCTGGGATTAAGATATGTACCACCATGCCTGGCTTTTAACCTTCATGTTAATGAATGTATGGCTTTTGTTGTTTCCAGCCTTATTTTGAGCCATCACAGATAACTTAAAAATAGATGATCTTTTTAAAGCAATTCTTTTTGAAGAACAGTCATTTCTCAAGTTTGTTTGGTTTTTATTTTGTTTTTTGTATTGTCAAAAAGAAAATAGCTGTTGCCCCTATGGAGTATTAGCCATAAAATAATAGAAAAAAATTGACTATGTTCAAGTTAAGAACTTCTTTATATCAAATACATCATTATAGGGGCTGGAGAGATTGTATGTGTATGGGTGTTGTACCTGCATCTTTGTCTGTGTGCCACATGCCTGGTGCCTGTGGAGGTCAGAAGAGGGCAAGAGATTCCTCTGGGTCTACATTTATATACATTTGTGAGCAACCATGTGGGTGCTGGGACTGGAACCTAGGTCTTCTGGAAGAGTAGCAGATTCTCTAAACCCTGAGCCATCTCTCCAGCTCTAATAAACTATTTTTTAAAATAATGGATGGCTGGTATATAGGTCATTTTTAGAGTTTTTGCTTAGTATGTGGGAGATTCTGAGTTTGAACCTCTGGACAAAGGGAAGAGGATAGAGAAGCACAGGGAGATGGGATGAGAACAGGGGATACTAGTTTTCATGTCTGTGTGTCTGTGTATATGCAGAGGACAGAGCCATTTGATCCCTAGAGCTAGTGTTAAAGATAGTTGTGAGCAAAGTGGGTGCTGAAAACTGAGCCTGCGTCCTTTTTGAGATCAGCAAATGTTCTTAACTGCTGACTCATCTCTTCTGCCTCTCCTTCAATCAGCGTCTAAGCAATCTTTATTATTTTTAATTGCATTACATTTTATTTATTTAGTATGTATGTGTTCACATGCACTAAAGAGGGGTGAGGGGTGGAGAGCAGGTAAGTGATTTCTCTCCCTCTCTCTGTCTCTCTCTTCCCCTCTCCCCCCCCCCTTCCATCCCTCTCTCTCTCCCTCTCTTTCCCATGCGGGGCCAGGGATTGAACTCACATAGGTAGGCTCGGTGGCATGCACCCTATCCAGTGAACCGTCTCACTAGCTCCTTAGCATCTTATAAACATAATCCTCAAACTGGCTTTTCCCTTAAAAAAGCCCAGAGCCCGGGACCATTTAGACTAAGTGCTTTGCCTCTAGAGTGCTAGGACTAAAGGTATGTGCTGCCACACCCAGCTTGTTTTGTTTTCTTGAGGGTCATTTACTGTATGGCCTGAAACAAACTATACAGCCCAACTTGGGCTGAAACTCAGGTCACCCTCCTGGCTCAGTCTCTTGCAGCTGAGATGAGTATTCACCATTGTTCAAGCCCTAATCTCCATTTTTATAGATAAGGGGAACCTGTTCAAGGTCGCAGCTGAGACAAGCACAGCTCTTTCTACAAAGCCTCGTGCTTATTACTTCGAATACTTTATTGCTCCAAATGCTTCTATTTTAGTTTTTTACTGCCACAAGGAAACTGCCAAATATACCTTAGGTTGGACACTGCTGTTAGTTCTGTGGATGGTGACCCCACACAGAATAGGAGTGAAGCTGGGTGTGATTGCACTATTAATAATTCCAGCAGCCAAGAAGCTTGTGATTTGAGACAAGGTCTGGGTGATGGAATGCTTTTAATCTCAGCACTAGGGAAGCAGAGGCTGGCAGACCTCTGTGAGTTTGAGGACATCCTAGTGTACAAAGTGAGTTCTGAGATAGCCAAGGCTATTATACAAAGAAATGTCTCAAAAAACAAAAACAACATAATAATAAATAAATAAGTGAAAGAAAGAAAGAAGGAAAGGGAGGGAGGGAGGGAGGGGGAGGGGAGGGGAGAAAAGGGTGGGTAGGGTGTGGAACAAACCCAAAACCTAGAAAGGACTGAATTATAGACTTAGGAAGGGACTGAGTCTTTAGCCATGTGCACAAATCTTTCCTCCTTTGTTTTAGTTTTTTAGACAGGGTCTTGCTGTATAAGGTTACTGGCCTCAACTTCACTTTGTAACTATTATCCATCCTTTTTTAATATTATTGGGTCCCCAGATCATGTACACTAAGAATTGTGTTGCTAACACTGAAATTTCTGAAATGGTGAGGTTCTAAGAAACTCTTCATGTAAATATCTTAGAGGTAGGTAAGTTTTCCATGGTATTATTTTTTTAGGATTTGCTCCAGATGAACCTAAAACAACAAAGTGTGATTGGTTGGTCAACAGTGGATTCTGTGGTCTAAAGATTCAGGTGT